TTGTTTTATTTTTTTTTTTTTTTTTTTTTTTATATATATATATATATATATATATATATATATATATATATATATATATATATATATATATATATATATCTTGATTCAAATAATGTCCAACACATGTGATTTATTAAGGTTAACTTTTGATTTAACATGGGGTTAATTACTTGTTTTTCTTTCTTTGTTTTCTTTCTTTTTTTTCACAAATGACGGGGCTGGTTTGGGTAGGTTTAAGTATGGCAAAGAAAAAAAAAAAGCAAAATCAGGAGAAATCTGTAAGGTGTCGAAAGTTGTTTTTACATCACTGTATATTTCAGTCTGCCACTAGTTGCCTCTTGTAAGCTATGCATAAGGTTTTTGCGGTCACTAAAGCTCACCGAGTTGCATTGGATTTTGATGTTTACACTTATCAATAAGCAATTATTTGTGCATATTTAAGACTATGCACATTGGCCTTGAGTTTGCTCTGCAGTTACCCTCCTAAAAGGCCCTTCAGTGTCTTTGAAACATGAGTCCAGTAGCCTTCTGATGGCTCTTGCTAAGGATAACTAAGAAGAGAATGTCAGTATTATTTAAAAAAATAAATAATTGCAGGAAGTGTCTGTTGTTACTTTTTTCTGCCTTTTTGTAAGATTTGAAAAGCATTTCATTAAAGACGGCAGTTCATGTCAGTGACTTTTTGTATTGTCGTTATTTTGTCATCATGCCTTGAATGACAAATGTGTCCTCATATGAATAATAAAGGATTTGCTATCTTTCTCTTTATTCGAACACTGCATTATTAATCTGTAATTGTACCAGTTTGCGTGCCTGAAACGGTGCTTTGTAAAGGAAAGGCCGGTCTGTTGTAGCCGTCTGTCATTCTGACCTGTTTTAACCTTCGAGGCAAACACCAATTCTGCTTTTTAAGCATGTGGTGACACAAGATAGCTGATGTAAGGTTACCTTTTTCTTTTTTTTTTTCTTTTTTTTTTCCCCTCCATCTCAGATGGTAATGGTTATATAACCACTTCTCCCTTTGTTGAACTCTAAATTCCACTTGGGGGTGGGAGGCTGGAAGGGAGCATATGGTCAAAGCAGGTTTTCCATCAGGAGATCATTTTTCCTGCACATATGCCGTGTTTTAAACATGTAAAGAGCAGGTTAGAGTCACCTTGGCGTTTTATTTATTTAAAAAAAACAAAACGGCTCTCCGACAACCACCAGAAAGCTTAAGCGTTGAACTGAAGTTCTAACCACTTTGGAAACTGACACAATGTTCTTTCCCTCTTTCCTTGCTGCTCTCCCACTGCATTGCATGAGTTGGATTTTTGAGAGAAGCCTCTCTTATCTCTCCTTCACCACTTCTTTCCATTTGCCTGTGCTTGCTGAACTGTTGTCGCCTGCGGTTCTCATTTAATTTGCACTTTCTGGAAACCTGTGGTCTGCTTAAACACTACCTGCACTCTGCCTAACCAACTGCATGTGTTTGCTAACGACTTATGCTTCATGCCTGCACATCACACAAATGGTTTCACAGGAATGATATGCTCAGTTACAGCTAGTTGGTGCATGTTTTTGAAAAATTACCTTTTAAATAATCAAATTGTTTTTGTGTTACTCGTTTAAAACAGAACATACTAAATGAATGTCTCATTCTTTCTTTGTTTTTGCACATTTGTTGACTTCCAGTGAAGTTCACAGTACTGCGTAAAAAGTGAACCAAAAACTAAATGTAGTGATTTCAGAGCATTTGGAAACCAATACTCAATTAAAAATAAAGTATCTGTCTGAATCTAATATCAGGGGGCACATTTTAATGAGTTTTTCATTCCAGTTGTTCAAATCTCTAAACCTTTATGTGATCAGGATGAATATACTTATGATCTTTTTGTTAAAGAGAAAAAAAAAAAAATCTCTCTTTGGGTTTATTTGCCATGGGGGGGAGATAAAATCACCTTTTAAGAAAGGATTGCTTCGAACAAACCCCTGGTAATGTTTACTAGCTTTCCTGTCAAAACCTGGCACACTTCCCTCTTGCCAGTAGGCAGTCATAGAGAGTCACGTCAAAAAAAGAGATAGATATTTGACTCTCTGTACAAGCGCTAGATGAGGGGTATGAAACCTGCAGCTTTGCAGCTACATGTGCCTGAAGAATGTCGTAATTAAAAAAAAAAAGTTTCTTATGTTTTTATGCAATATCTTCCATAACCAAAAGGCACTAATGTTGCAAGAAATCTTTTTCTCTGTTACGTCACAAATTGTAATTATAAATATGGAAGTCAAGTAAGTAAATGTCTTGTCACTTTTGTAATATTTGTTTTTCTTTGCACTAAAATCTAAAAATATGAGTCAAAGTTGGTTTTATTTGATTCATTTTCCCAGTCATAAATTATATTTTCTAGAGTAAGTAGTCTTAATATTTGTAGAGCTGTCCATTTCCAACGTGTCCTGGATCTGACACGCCTCTTAAATAATCAGTTCCCTTTCAGGATATCAGTCTTTGCTGCAGTTCTCAAACAGTGGGTTGTCGAAATTGGATGCATGCATCGTATTGATGACCCAGGGGAACAGAAAGGCAGAGATTGTTTAAAAGAAAATAAGAAAATAAACTCAAAATGATGTAAAATGATTTCATCACATTCCTTATAGGGATTATTATAACCTTTTAAGCTGGGATTTATTTAATCCCTTTGTAAATCAATGTGCTCAAATTAATTAGATTTTTCTAAAGTTCTGTGACTGTTACTTAGGTAAGAGATTAGTTTTTAATGATTTTTTTATGAATTATGCTAAAGTCTAACATCTGTTTGTGTTTTTAAGTACAGTAAATCAAAACATACCTGCCCTCAAGGCTGCATCAAATGTTGCCTGTGTTGCCATGGATTCAGATTTTTAACTCAAAACTGGATGTACGTCCCGTATTTTTAGCCTGCAGGACATGCATGCATGGCATCTGAAACAGCCTTAGGACACTTGAAAGAGCTCAGGTCCAGAAACAGTAAAGTTATTTCTGTCTCCTGTTTGTTCCAGAGATAAATTGGATTCCCTTGACAGTGGTTTAGAGAAGAATTCCTCCAGCCGCGAGTTAACCACAGTACACATGTTTCATAGATTATGAAATGTCCAAAATTCTTGTAATGCTCCCTCTAGTCATGAAGATAACTTGGAAAACAATTGAGTTAGTCCAAACACAAGGTAGAGGACTGTTGCAATGCTTTACTGTCGATTAGCCTCTCTGGTAGTACTCAAAAATATAACTGTCACCCTTTAACCCATATAATTGAAACATGTTTTACCATTTCCTGGTTTTTATATTAAAGTGTGTTCCAGGATTTTCTTTTAATCTGATGCCTTTTTTAAAAAACACTAAAGTTTTCATTCACATTTTATGCAATGTCTCTTATGTTTTGTGAATTTAGAACTGCTGACTTCACCAAAAGTACCACAACATATTCTTTAAAAGGCTTAAATGATTGTGAGACCTAGTTGGGCCTCTCAACTTCTATGCATTAACAATAACTTTATGTACCACAGGAACATGACTGGTTCTCTAGCAGGGACTTCCTGAACCGGTGAGTTTCTCTGACTTTTTCTCTTTCCCACATATAAACTCCCACTGAGTCAGTAGGTCACATCAGAAACATAAGAGCAGGGTGGGTCCTAATTTTCCAAGCGGGAGGGACAGTCAGCAGGCAGTGGAATCTTTTTTAAACAAGTCAAGGGTCAAAGGTGGTCTGCTTTTATGTACATGGAAAATACACCAAGAAGAGAAGCATCATCTTTTTTTAAATCTCTGCAGATAACGCAAAATTTTCCCTTTCCTTTGAATGCTTAAATTTCGACTTTCATAACATTCTGTCATATTTCAACTTTGTAACTTACCATTTCACTTCATAATTATGTACTTTGCATTTATCCTAGCTCATACAAGTATTTTACTTTTGTGGTTTTAACGTGTGGAAACGTTCTAATGATGTGAACACTTCATGTAGTTAACTCTTGGGACTTCCTGTATCCACACACTAGCATGTATTCACGCCTCTGATTCTCTTTCAATTGCCAGAAATCTTTCTAGGAATGCCAAAACTATGACAAATCCTGAGTCCTCTAGCCTTCCAAGTGGTGGTATAAATACCCCTCTCCCACTGTAGGATGGCAGTCTCCATGTCATCCTTGGCCCTTGGATCTCTTCCGGTCGTTGAGGAGGTGTGACTCTCCCCACATTAACGCCGAGGTTTTAAATGGTTCGCACAAATCTATCAATTCCAGGCAGTTCTATTCTAAGGGCCGCAGCACATCCGGTTTGTTCCATGCATGATCAAAAGAAATTACACACATTTGGAAAATATAACGCTAAATCTCATTGGAAAGCAATTTGACTCGTCGACGTTGGCTGCACAAGCACAGGGCCACTGGCATGAAACTGGATTTGACTGATGTAATCAGGTGTCACCTTGATTTTGCCTGGTCAATCCATCCTTCTTTTCAGGACTTCAGTTCTGCTCTTCCTGTTCCCACAAATACAGCTCATGCTACGGGGGAAAGTGAGCATCTTTTAGATGGGAGATGAAAGGAGGTGAAGGGCAAGAAAATGTTAGCTGCTGAAACAGCTAACACTGAAACTCAATAGTCATGTCCTAAAATTGCAGGGTGAGGCCAAGTTGAGGTAAACTGACTGTTGTGTGCAGTGGGAATAAGCTTTTTCTCTGCCAAATGATGCAGTGGTTTGTGTCCAGAATATTATCAAAGACGCAAGGACTGCAATTAAATGTAACTGTGTCCATGGATACTCATCCCAATTGAATCAGATAAATCTGATGAGTAGCTACAGATAATTTGGAGGATTTTTGTTGTTGTTGTTGTTTTTGTTTGTTTCTGTTTAGAAAATGTGATTTTATTTAATAAGCCATGCCTGGGATTAGCTTAAGCTAAGATAATGTTTATTGTAAGGTGCATACTGACACATTTTTTGGGGGTGTGTGTGTTTCAAACCAAAACTGTCTTTTTTTCTTTCTTTTTTTTTTTTTGCTCCTACAGATACAACCAACCTCACATGCGATCTTGGTCTTTCTCACAAGCAGTAAGTAGATGATTATTCCCCCCTCTGTCTAAATGCTCTCTGCAACCTGAGGAATCTCTCTGGGCTCTGTGTCAGTACAGGAGCAGAGAAATCAAGGGCATCAGTCACTTTTTCCCACACAGATAAGAAAACATGCACACTCTCTCAGAGATGCACTCCACCAGAGTGGAAGAAAGAAGCGTGACCTACCTCATGTTGTTAGCAACAGGCTAATTTAGTTCTTGGTTTTTTTTTTTCCTAAATTAGAATTTGCGGCAATAGTTTAACAGATTTGTGCTTTTAAAATAATACACATCTGGGTTCCTACACGATGTGGGATTTAACTCAGGATTTTCCAGGGCTGGATAAATGGGGGAATATGAAATGTATAAAATATTTGTATTTTTGCACTCATGTCTGTCCGTCCTCAATATTTAAATCCAGAGCACTATTGGAATATCAACAATGTCACAGAAAACCTTGGTATTTGTGCTTTGAAAATTGTCCAGAAAGGTCAGGGAACATTGTTAGAACCCCTGCTACTGCGTTAGCCAAAAGCAACATCCAAAACTTATTTACTAAATGTATTTGGATAGCTTAACGTGAGTCTTCTTTCATCAATAAAGACAGTTATGGTGGAACAGACATTTTTCATGCTCTGAAATATAACATTGTTAAAAACTCAAAAATAGATTTATTTATTTATTTAATTGGGTTGCTTATAGCTGCAGATTACAATGGAAACAGTCTTTTTTAAAGGTCCCCACTTCTTGAAGTACAGGTTAATTATTTGAGTCAGAATTGCACGAGAATTGCATGAGTGTTTTACTGAGGTTTCTACACACACAAAAAAAAAAAAACTACTGTCAGTTCCTCAATGCACATACCATTCACAAACCTTTGCAAATACTAGATACGCTGCACACACGGTCACTAGTGGAACGTGAACAACACACTTGTGCAGATTTGTCAACCAGTTGTGATTTGTTGTTGCACAAAGTCTGTCTCAGCCTTTAACAAGGAAAAATTGCATTTTCCTGATAGCTTTTGTTTAAATGAGGAATGTTTAGCACAAACAAAATACTTTTCTTTCTTTTTTTTTCTGTCATTCAGTGGTACATTTGCACACAGGTCAAAAGCCTCTCCCTTCCCCATTTTTCTCTCCATGTGAGTTCCACCTGCCGAATAGTGGTTACTCTGTCTGACCCCCTCTCAATCATGCACTCAGTTTCTGGGTATCAACTAAGGGCCATGACGGTTCTCAGCATGAATCACGGTGAGAGATGGAGATCCACGGTGGTGTGACCAATCCTGTCAAGGCCCGAGGCTTTTGACATGAGTCACAGGCAGCATTACCTCTCTTCCACCTAAACACAGACAAACAATCTAAAATTAACTTAACTTAGAGTTACTAATGAAGATGAGAAAAGCAAAGAAATAATTGGGAGAATGCTGCAGTTGGAGACTGGGGGACAAAACAACGGAAAGTGTCTCTCGATAGCCACTTCAGACCACTTCTTAAATTCAAAAACAAGTGGAAGAAAGGGAGGAAAAAAAAGAGAGGAGGCTGGCTCTCTGTCTTCTTCAGCACAAATGTAAGTGAGACCTTAATAATGCTGGAATCAGAAATGTTTTTCCCATCCCAGCATAGGGAACGTACTGTAGGCCAGAATATCCATGCTTCTGCACACAGTTCAAGCAGCGATGTTGTGGCTACAACTCACTCCTACTGAAGGCAGTGAGGAGTAATGAAAGGCAGGACACAGATTCCCACAGTGCTAACCCAAAAAAACCTAAAAAAAAAAAACAAAAACAAAAACATATTTTATTTCCTGATTCTTCCTGGAGAAGAATCATAAGATGATCTTATGTCAACTTAGCTTAGCAGTAATTTCGAAGCACCCTTCTGACTCTTATGACCTTAACACTACGAGACATTTCATTTCAGACCAATCTCTCTTTAATCATAAAGTCTAATTGATGACAGTAGAATAAACCAATTCAGATTAAATTTCAATTGGTACGACACAATAAAGTTCGGCATTATAAAGAGACTCATTTTTAGTCCAGTTCACTCTTTTTTGAAGATATCGAATAGTGGGGACCTCGCGACACCCAGTGGTAACAAGCTGTAACTGCTAGTTCACCTCTCCGGGGAGAAAGCAGTTATTTTGTCTCCCTGGAACAACACGATAAAATGCACCTGTAACAGTTATTAGAAAGAATACAGCGGGCGGAGAAACCTAATTTGAAATGTGGTTAGGGTTACACCCAGAAAAAAACCTGAATTCAACTAAAACCAGTAGGAATTCTTTGCGCCCACATTAATTGTCTTGACACAAACATGCTCATCAAGGTTTGGTCAGACTTTGAACGGAGAGTTCGGGTCAAACTACATTCGCTGAGATTGTGGTGGCAGGTAGAGTACGTGCTTTTATTTTTAATTGTGTTGGAGTGGCTTTTGAATAGTTCTGTTTACTGACACTTCACTCGGTAGGTAGGAAGCAAAGCTTGTAACTCTCGGTATTCAAATTGGGCAGATTAATATTAAATACAAAGACATTCTGAATTTTGTCACAAAGGCCTATTGTTTATACAGTATTATTTTTAATTAAACATTTCTTTTTTTGTGTGAGATTAAGCATTTTTGTCGGAACAAATGAGACTTTGTAAGTGTTACAACAGACGTGAACTGCACTCGACATTGTGCACGAGGAAAGGAAGAAAAAAAAAAAGAAGAGCAACCAGGAAGCTATGTTACTTAACAGAGAGAGTTACATGCAGCTCACAGTGTCTGGTTTTTTGCTGTGGTTAGTGTGGCGATGTTGATCAAAAGAGCTCAAATGCACCGGAAACACGATTTGATAGCTACTCACGTGTTATGTAAGAGAAGTGGAGAGGAAACGACTTCAGGATTAGAGAATTAAAGACACCTGATGAAAATCTGTGTCCTGGGTTTATTTTCTCCAACAGTGAACTGGTGCTAAGCTGTTTGCAGTGAACTGGTGCTAAGCTGTTTGCAGTGAACTGGTACTAAGCTGTATGGGTGAAAACCATCCTGTCCTGTTCTGTTAGGAAATTGAATTTGTGGTGAGTGATTATTACATTTAAAGCAATAGCCACTTCTGCCTCTCCTAAAGATCTAAATCAGCTGAAGCATCTTTGTAAGTTGAGATATCATCAGGAGGTTTAGTTGGTTACAGTTTTATGTTTAAAGATGACAGATTTATTGCATTGATAAGGCACGTAATTCTCACAGCTACTGAAAACACAAAAAGAAAAAGGGGCACAGGAGCTAAAGCTTTTTAATACAGACATGCTATGTTGTGGCCTATGCAGACATGGAGAAGATTTCTGATTTCTCCATGACTGTGTGCACACATTACTTGAAAGGTTTATGATGCTCCTTTCATACTCTAGCTGCAGGACCTGCCCATGGTGTCACTGCATGGTGTCACTGCATTTGACTGCAGAAAACTTACCTCACTTGTTGTGCATGGACATACTTTTCAATAACCCAACATTTCTGAATTGGAAATGCTTCTTATTAGATTTCTGTATTATAAGTACTTTGGTTTTATTTTCTGAATGTCTGTCGAATAAAATTTTAGGGTTTGATTCTCAAGCCATAATCATGTGGTTATGCATTTTTAGCTTGTGCACTTTTTTTTTCTATCATGCTTTTCCTTCCGCTCAACTTTCCACCAATATGCTTGAAATACTTCAGCCGTCTGCTTGACAGCTATCACAGTCAAATCTTTTAATGATTGTGTAGTCCATGAAATTTTAATAAAATCTTACTTTTTTATTAGGCCTGGGCACTAAATTTCGGGGTTTAATTTGCTGTAAGCCACAACGATCAAAATGAACAGTGACAGGGACTCTTAAAATAGATCACCATAATGCATGAGTTCTGTGTTGTTGTTTTTTTTTAAATTGTATACAGGTTTCATAATTTTATTCCAATTGACTGAGATCCACCTGTAGTTTTGGAAAATCTGCGTCACAGAGATTTTGTAAATTCTCGGAAAACGTAGAAGCAGAGTGGGGCGTCATGACGGGGTTTTCAACTATGAAAAGGGTTAAACTTGTTAGCTGGAGGTGTTTGTTCATTGTGGGAGCTTTTTAACTTCACAAATGAGGAACTTAAGAGCACAGAGGAAGTTGGCCAATAATTGCAGGCTAGGTTTCTCAATGCAGCCCTGTTTTTTTAGGATGTTCAACAGCAAAACTGAACATGTTATGCACGCTCCCCCCTGAGAAAATGAGCTTTTGCACCCAGAGACCGAAAAGGAGTTCTGTCTGTGCTGCTCGGATTCCGTATTACTTACTTTATCTGTGTGTCACAGCGTGAATGAAACTGCTGACAGTGGACATCTTTGCACAAGCTGTGAGTCAGTGTTGTGTGTGAGCTCAACTTTATAGGTTTTAGCCTTTTTTTCTGACTCAACTTCCTGTTGCATGGCGAAATTTTACATTTTCTGTATTCTTCTTCTTTGTTTCTGCAAAAGTTTTGGAAAAAAAACCTATTGTCAGTACTTCTGTGCCTATGACGCCACTTCCTTTTGAAGAAACAAAAGAGAGAAAGATAAAAAAAAAGCAATTACTGCCCCATTATCTGGGGAGAGATGTTGTCAACCTACACACCTCTCAATACGTTTTTCTTCTGGTTTCTTTCAACAGGCTGCCTTCCCTCTGTCTGTGAATCCTTCGATGGCTGCTGATGACTATAATCCTGTGAGTATCAGTCTTTTTTTTGTGACATTTACAGTGGTGTTACTTCTGCTTCTGCTATTTTGTTATGACAGAACTTGATATACGAATTATCAAAGCATACAAGCCTTTACAGCAGGTGAGAGGGCAGTTTCCCTTCTTTTTCTTTTCTTGTTTCAAAACCCCATGGAGGCAGAGGAAATGAAGAACAGATAGAAAGACGAGACAGAAAGCTGAAAGTCAGAGAGGAGCAAGAAAAAGAAGTCGGGTGCATGCGAGAAACAGGATGTTCAGCGAGCGTTTTCATCTCAGTTGTTGCATGTGACCGTTTTCTCTTCTTGTCTTCCTCCTCGGACCTCGCCGTTGTCGTCTCTGAAAGGTCTCCCTGAGGCACAAGTCGAAGAAGAAGCACCGAGGGGGTAAGCCGGCTCTTTTTGCTTTGCGTCTGCACCAGGTGTTGCCTTTCCGCTGCAGGTTTGACTGCCAGTGGGCGTGTGAGAAGCAGCAGGACAATTAGTGTGTGCAAAGGGATTTTAGACAACCCACAGTTACTTTCACTTCACTTCTTCTATGCCTTGGTGTGTTGCATCGTCTCTCTTCATTTCTGAGTGTCTAACATTAGTTGCTCTTTATTTTTAATTTTTAAGAATTTTTTTTTTTTTTTTGCATGTCAATGGCGTGTTGTTAATTATCACACCAGGGGAAGATTGCTGAACCACAGCACTTCAGAGCAGACCAAGTTCTAGGTGCTGTGTGGGGAGAGGGGTTGTTATGCATTTTTGTCATTTCAGTGACCTACATTGGCTGGGATGGAATTTTTTTTGTGTGTGTGTCTCAGCTAGGATGCTGAACTTCACCTAGATGCTTCAGCCGATGCTTCATTTGCTTGTAGCAGGGTCTCTGTGGACTCACGTACAGGCCTTATCTGTGCACAGGCAATGGTACCATGAGTAGAAGACGAATCTCCGTCAAAGAGCTCGGTCAACCGGACCACCAGGGCTGGCTTTACAGGAAGAAAGAGACCAAGGGTTTCCTGGGAATCAAATGGAAGAAGTACTGGTTTGTCCTTAAGAAGACTGCGCTCTACTGGTACACCAACCAGTTGGTGAGTGCTTTTTGTTGTGTGAAATGTAAAAAAAAAAAAAAAATGCTACAGACGTTCAACATGGGGAGGGTTTATTACATCTTTTTTGACATCAACATTTATAGTACTGGGATGTGTTTTGTTTTTGATGCTAACACGCTAACACGACAATGGTTGCACTTATTTTTATGAATTGGTAAACTGTTTTGGGCTAAATACAAATGTAGGCCACACTTTTGAGAAACTTACTTTTAGACACATTTGAAAATTATACCGTATTCTTTTCCCACTCTTTTTATGCACTGCTTGGTGCAGCTCTATTATCATACTGGAATTAAGTCCAATATAATTATTTATGTTTGTAATGTGACAACCAAGTTGAAGTTCTTCACTTTATTTAAATAAGGGGGACTTCCTGTGTCCGTTCAGTATGTCCCAAAATAAAAAGCCCTTATTTTGCCATTCTAGAAGTTTTCTATTAAAAGATTCTACTAGCTTGTCTTTTCAGATTTTACTATGGGTTAACAGGAGTAAAGGGGCAAAATACAATATCGCACAACATTTTACAAATTTTTCTTTGTTTAAAAATTGTTCAAAGCCATATTTGGACATTATTTTAGTGTTGATTCATTACATTGAGGTAGTGTGAGTGAATATATATATATATATATATATATATATATATATATATATATATAACAAATAACCTTTCCTTGTTTTGGCCAGCATGTTTTGGAAAATTTGTTTCTCACTTTGCGCATTGTTCATCAAAACGATATCACACTTGGCTCTGTAAATTGCTGTTAAGTGCTGTGACAGGGTGATTTTACATAGGAGCTGTAAACTTGGTGTCTGCAGACTCTCTATATTTAATGAAACTGTACAGAAGAACAATTACTTTGTTGCTAGCTCTTTCTTGTAGAGATCCCTGTGGGGGGAGGTGATGGCATGCTGTGTATTTGAGTGTGCAGTCACTATAAAAAAACAAAAGAATTTAAGTTATTTTAAAGAAGAGACTAAATAACTGAGGAGATTGTCATAATTATTTTGGCGATCAGATGTTGACTCCTGACCTTTTCTCTGGATATGGATGTTTTGGTAGTTCTCTGCAAATCTCAGCTTTTTCCATAAGAAACAGAGACTGGAATCTCAGACGAATCAAAGAGTAATTTTATCATTTTGAGTTTCACCTTCTCGTCGTCTGCTTTCACCCTTTCACAGCATGAATGATTCAAAGACATGTTAAAAATAAATCGGCTCTTGAATCTTGAATCTGCTTTTCCTTTTGTTTCATTTTGTTAAACACCAGGAAGAAAAAGGCCAACTATAAGTCTTGTTCACTTAGCAACAGCATCCACATTGAAGAGTGTTGTCTTCAGGGTGATTTTGATCCACTTGTGATGATGATTTGTTCACTGGTTGGAATCATGAATAAATATATTCATGACCAAAAAAAAAATGTGAGAATGAGAAGTGGAAGTGCAGAGTTGTTATATTTTATTTTTGGATAGTAGTGGAGATGAGTTACATAAAACTTTGGGCACAGATTGTGCAAAAAATTCAGTTTTGCTTAGTCATTTTTTTTGTAATGAAGCTGTTATTTTGAATAACTACTGGGGTTCATAATGTTATTTCAGCCTATGCAAAGTGATGATTAATTTTGGTATTCACAGTTGTTTTTTTTTTTTTTTTTAGATGTCGGTAAATGAGAGGAATCTAGAAAATTATAAATGTTAGTATCGCTATAAATGAAACATGCTCTTAATTTTTTATTTTTTTTACCAGGCTGTAATGGAAATGTTTTCTTAAAAAGTAATAGGAGGATCAGCATGCTGTTTTTTTTTATTTAAGATGATTAAAAAAATATATCAAAATGTTGTCCTTTTATACATTTTTGCTTACAGTAGCAAACACCAAACAAAATAGTCAATAAAACTTTCAATCTGTTGAGCAATTCACACATTTAACACCTTTCCTTATAAGCGCACAATGAAGTGGTGTGAATGTCAGACGAGTCATACTTGCTTCTTCAACCTCTGTCACGCTGCCACAACAGGAACTGCACTGTGTTTCCTGTATGTGTCTTTGTCACTACCAGACTGTTGGCATAGCTACAGACAGACATGCATACATAAAGTAAAAATAAAAATCTTTTTCTGTTTTCATCACACTTGTATGTTTTTAATTATCAAACAAATTTATCAAGAAGATAACCTGAGTGAGGGGAAAAAGGCATCTAAATCAAACTGGTCTTTATATATATAATGACTCATTAAACCCAGTAACTAGTTGTTCAAACATTAACTTTAAGTGTCATCATGAAACTTAGTTTCATGATGACACTTAAGTGTGGTTAAAACACTTCTGATGGAAACCAGACACTGGGAATGAATTCCAAAAGTGTTTGAAAATCACTCCTGTTACACTAATATCTGAATGTTTACATTACTACCCACATATATAAAAAGGTAACTTCTGCCATTTTTTATTGTGATCACTTTAACGGTGACTCAAAAACGTTTTTAGACAATTCACACCACATTCTTTTGATTATAAATCTATTAACTACCTACAATCAGAGCCTCACAAACATACATACTTGATGATAAAACTCACACATTGTAAAATAGGTCATGACACTGCACTAGATGAATAAGAAATCAATAAAACAAAATTCTTCAATCAAATCCTAAGTAACCCCCAATGACCCTCGTACTGCTCTCTCCATGTTTGACCACAGGGATGAGTCCTTTTCCAGAAACTGTGAGCAGCAAACCCTAACATCTCGATCACAAACTGTTTTAAACTTTTACCTTCAGGTCAGCACTACAAAGCGCTATCGGGGGGGGGAAAACTACAGAGACAATTTCTTCCCCAGGCTTTCTCTCCAGTTGATCACCATGAACAGCTCACAGCCAGAGTAGTCAGCTACTCTACTGTGAAGCAAATATGCATATTACATTACCACAACAATCCTTCTTGTTTTTCCTTAATTATTTAAGCAAATTGTTCCTTTTATCTTTATTAAATTTTTTATGTCCTTGAAATTCATTCCTTGTTTCATGATACTGATTGTAAGCACTGACCTTAACTGGTCTTTTCTGACATCTAGAGTGAGTCATTGATGGTCTTTAAGAGACATTTTAACCATTTCCAGACTGACAGATGTCAGTGAATTTGAAAACTGTGTTTTGCATTTACATAGCTCTCCCTTTTCTACTGTTAAAACTATTTGATCTAAGACATCAAAGTGTGACAAATGTCAAAAACGGAAGCAATCTCTAAGGCGGCACATACTTTTTCATAATGACAACGGGTGTGAAGGCTTTGGTCAGGATTAATGTATGTCACCATCACCGGCTGCAGCTTGGCGACAGGTGTTGCCAGGAAGTGGTTTGACAACCATCGCCATGTCTTTAGCGCTAACTGTTATTCAATTTCTGTGTTGCAGGCGGAGAAAGCGGAGGGCTACATTGACCTCGCAAACTTCATGATAGATGTAGCCATCGAGTGCAAGAAGAAGCAGTAAGCCCAAAGCTTTCCTTTCCAGGATGATGATGTTGTGATTCAGCAACTCGTCTCTCTGTTCAGCTAAACACGAGTCTTGACTTATACCAACAACCTGGGTGTCGAAGTTTTCCCACACACTGCGACAGGAAATGTTTATTTTGCTAAATCGTCCTGAAACGATCTTCAAAATAGAAAAGTCACTTCCTTTTTCCACTGATCACATCTCATCAAGAGATTACGTTCTTTCTTTATTTCTGCATATCTCTTACCAGAAACCCCATGAAGCTTTCCACTAAAAGTAGCTTGAAACCACAAAAAATATCATTTGTGTACTGAGAACAATAATCCAAGGTTGCTTATCTGTGGGTGTTATGATCATGTGCATTAAAGTTTGAATGAGCTGCCTCTCTAAATGCTCTCCTGTCTCTCACAGTGCATTCAAAGCCTGCCACCCTCAAGTCATGATGTTTTATTTTGCTGCCGAGAACCACGAGGACATGAATCTGTAAGTTACAATAGGGTATAACTAATGTGAAAGCTGATGGGTTTTTCTTAATATCATATGTTTAAAGTTGAATCATTTGTTCTTCTCAGCTGGTTGAACAAGCTCGGGCTGGCCTCCATTCATTATGAGCAAACGGATCAAACCACAGCAGCTGGTAAGCCCCCCCATGCTCAACATGTGTTTTATTGCCAGGTGTGGTCTTAAATTTAGGCCAAACTGTTTGTGGCTGATTCACAGGAGATATGTGACACTGCCAAATTAGAGCAACGCAAATCCTGTGGTCGATTTTCGTTGCGTCGTCAGCGCGTCATCCTATAAATTCATGCATTTCTTTCTTTTTTTTTTTTTTTTCCCCGTCGTTTCTCTTCAAACCATCGTGAACGTTCAGAGTGTTACAGTGAAGAAAGCGATCACGAAGAAGCAGAAAGCACAGAGATCCCCCCTCCGCCGTACTCGGAGCAGACCCTACGGAACTCTGTGGATGCATCTAATCCACCTGGGAGCACGCATCAGGTCAGAGAAGATTCATTAAAATAGCACCTACCTCATCCCTTGATATGTTTTGGTCAATGGGTTTAAATGTGTGTCCTTAAAAAGTATTCGTACCCCTTTTTTCCCCATTTCTGGAAAAGGGGTACAAAGTTCTCTTTTCAAGTTCTCGTTACAAAGGCAAACTCCAGCTCTTGCTGTTATCAAAACACTATTTAAGGCATAACTATGAAGTGGAAGGAAAACGTGTGGATTTCAACGTTAAGTAAAATTCATGAGTTTAGTGTCTCTGACGCCTTCACGGACCAGCTACTTTTTATACCGAGATTAACTTAAGCTACTTATGTGACTTCTATATGTTGTCTTTGTGCTTCACACATATGTGACCCTTTGTATTGGAATATCGCATAAAAAAAAAAAAACAGTGACTTAGCCCAATTAAAAAAAAAAAATTAAAAAAATGAAGACGTATAAATGTCTCAAACACATCTTTTCTTTTCTCTCTTTTAGGGTACTGTTCCACCACCATATTCTTCCACAGCTCCTGCAGAAGCCAGCGATTCGCTCTCCTCCCCCGTCAGTACGATGACGTCGCAGAGCTCCGCCTCTTCGCTCGCTAAGCAACGGCAGTCCTGGATGGACCTTGTCTCAGAGGCGTCCTCTACTCCAGCCGGGGAGACGGCAGTGGTGTGCTCGGTCCAGGTCCACGCTCAACGACCGCCACAAGGGAGAACGGAAGTGGTGACGGTGTCGGAAAGCTCGGTTCCTCAGAGCTCCACAGACTCAAATGGGTCCAACAAAGAGACCCCAGCAGCTCACGGGGAGGAGCAGAGGGACGTTTTAGGTCCTCAAAGTGCAGGTGAATGTTTCTTGTTTTACTCTATATTTGCTTTCCTACCTTTATGTGTTTTTCCCTCAAGTTGATGTCTACCTTAAAACCGCCTTGGACTTGCCATACTTATGTTATGCAAGTGGGCTGTATAATAAATTGTAACCTTATCCTCTTGCAGGCAATCGTGGGAGTAGCTCTGATGAGATGGAAAAGCTGTACATTCATCTAAAGGAGGCCAGCCTTTCACCAATAGGGGATCGGAAACCGTCCACAAAAAGGGAATTCAGGGCTTCTTTTGTTAAACGCTGTAAAAACCAGACCGTTAACGATAAGCTACACCATATCAGGGCGCTCAATAGCACGCTAAAGGTATGCAGTGCAGAAACACTTCTGAAGTTTTGAAATCATCTGGGTGTTTTGTTGTGTGGATATCAAATGGATAGATATTCTCTCTCATTTTTTTTTCTTCTTTTTCTTTTGTCACAGTCTAAGGAGGCGGACTTGCAGGCAATAGAGCAGGTGCTGTCTGACCCAGAGCTTACCTCAGACAAGTTCAGAGAGTGGAAGGAAGCCAACATGCCATTGATGGTGGAGATCTGTGTCAAAGACGACCACAAGGGGGCGCCAGAGGCTGTGACAGCTGCAGCATCAGTCACTCCTGCCCCTGTTGCAGAGACCAGTTTATAAGAAGTCACCGTGACTTAGTTTACTGTGTTTGGACTTGGTCCTCATGATTACATACACTCACTGCTGTTATTTAGTCAGATGACACTTCAGTTCCATGTAAGCGCATATTTAACTGCTGTTTAACATGCATCTGTAAAGTGTTTTTTTTTTGTTTTGTTTTGTTTGTTTTGTTTTGTTTTTTTCGTTTTAGGTTTCATATTGACTCGGAAACATGAGCAATACACATGAAAATGTGGTTTCTGTTTTACTTTCCACTTGGTAGAATTGGGAAATTTTTCAGAACTTAGTCTTTTTTAACATTTTAATTCACAGAACCTTTGCATAAACTTTGATTGTATGGAACGGAATGCACAGAAGCACTGTTTTTGTTTTGTTTTTGTTATTGTTTTTTACTGTATAATTTATCTACTTTGTTTTCATCTGCAGGGAACAAATTCCCAGATTGTTGTTGTCTGCTAATTATTGGTGCCATGCACCGTCTGTGCCTGTTACAAGCAATCCAGGAGCCATGATACTTTCCTTGTGCTGTAGATGTCACATCATGCTTTATATTAACTGTTCTGACTGAACAATAAACCCTGTAGTTAGAATAAATCATATCTTGATAATTTCAGATAAGTAGGAGTCAAATTATTGTCTCTATGTAGTTTAAAACTCAGCTAAAACACTAGACATTTGCCTTGAGACCATAAATGTTGGTAGTATGTTTATTTTAGTGTGGAAAAAAAATACTTGGTAGTATTCTTTAGCATTACTGCCCTATGTGTGTACAGAAACTTTTCAAAATAATGGAAGCAAGCCTAAAGCTGCCTTATCATTTCAGGATGGACATTTATGCCTGGGTGCGTCATATTTTAAGTGTGCAATCAGTGTTGGTTAATGGAGTCTTTGCGATGAAATATTAGCATCAGCTGTCTTTCAGATATGGTCAAATTTTAACTGAGAGAATCATCCAAGTTTAAATACAAATAGGTAAATAATTCAACTCTAAAATATGTTAAATAAAACTAAAGTGACATTTAACTTTACATTATCAATAAAGGGCATCTCTTTTTAAAGAAGAGGTTTGTCAGCTTACAGCTTTGGCACTGTTCATTTTTAGCAAACCTTTACAAATGATTACATTTGTCCTGCAAAACTATTGTAATAATTTTAATTTGAACTTTCATTAGATTTGAGCTTATCAAGCAGCAAGAAATATATCCCTTATTATGTGATTTTCCAGGAACAGGTTTAGGTACCTGATTAAACCTTAAACATGGATTATTAAAGAATATGAGAGTCCAGACTGGCTCCATGTGAACTTTTTTTTAATACATATTTCCTTCATGTTATAGTTTAGTGTAAATATGTTAATAATGAATGTGTAATTGTAGTGTTTTTTCTTTTGTTTTTGCTATAAAAAGAAATAAAGCTACGCCAAAATTTCCAGCCTGTTCTGTCAGTTTGTATGTCTACAGAACCTTGATTTGCAGAATAAAAAAAATTAAAGAAAGACAAAAGCTGAAAAGTTCCATGCTTGGTCATATTAAATGAAGGATGTGAACAACAGCTTTAAGCTTTTGCAAATGATTTTCATGTAGATTTATGTTTAGGTTATTTTAATACAGTTGTTTTGACACAATTAGATTGTAGCTCCAGTTGTATATTTAAATAGATTGTCATGTCCCATTCTCAACTCTTTTGCAGGGTTACCTCATTTGGCCTGTATTTACCTCAGTTTAACTTCCCTTCACTTCTGACCACCCATACTGAAAAAGAAAATGTTCATGTGCCATGATGCTATCACCATGCTTAACCATGGTGATAGCCCCTGTTGCAGAGAGGAGTGTTTGCTTTTCTCCAAACAAAGCATCTTCATGTAAGCCAGAAAGCTGAGTTTTTGACTAATCTGACCAGCGCACCTTCCTCCACATGCATGCTGTGTCCCCATACAACTGATGTTTCCACCTGTGCCTCTCTGATTAATGATTCATGTTGGCTCAGACCAGGTCAGTATTTATACTATTTTGTCTAAATGTTCCATATTCTCTCCATTTAGTTAGATGATGAATTAAACAGTGCACTGTGAGATGCCTTAAGCCCTGGATACTGCTTTGTAGCAAAATCCTGTTTTGAAATTTATTACAGCTTCATCTGGGACCTTTAAACAAAGAGTATTTATATTTTCTGTCTGATTGAATTGTTTTAAAATGTTAAATCAGATGTTATAATCTGTTAGCATTTGAGTCGCCTTTTCCTGGAATACTTTTTTGCTTTTGAGTAATTTTTTGGATGTCAATTATTTGCTTTTACTTGAGGAAAAATAGGAGTAGTGCTACTCCTACTTGTGAACAAGTTTTGAATATTCTATCCACCTGTGTTGTTGATGTTCTGTAGCAAAAGTACTCACGCCTTAATTTATTAATTAGCAAAACTTCTACAAGCATTTTTTTGTTTCTTTGTTTTTGTTACTTTTAAGGGTGTTAGAGTTAAAAAGGCTGAATATGTATGGATACCACATTTCTCAGGATTTTATTTCCAAAAGTTTCTTTTCACTTCCCATTTAGGCACTGCTTTGTGTTGGTCAGCCACATAAAAATCGCAATGAAATAGAAGTATGTGCTTGTAATGAGACGGTATGTAAAAAAGCTGTGGGGATATTAATAATACTTTTGCAGGGCACTGTATGTGCTAGATGACATTGCTATGTGTTACAAGATATAGTTCCTAAAAGCTGCCACTAGGAGTCGCGCGTCTCACTGCAAATTCCCCATTGAGGTTATGCGCCATATTGCCAGTCTCCTCCATCTCACCAAACACCGAGCATGCACCGGTTATAGAGGAGATATATTTAAATATTTACAGTGAGCTGCGAGCCGAAACGCAACACCATGGAGGCCGTCAAAGCCTTTAACAACGAGGTTTGTGTGGAAGCAGTGGAAAAGAAATCCCGAACAGTTCGCGTATCTGTTGTCTAACTCTGATTTTCAGAAGCTAGTTAGCTAACGTTAGCAACGGGGTAGTAAAGAGGGAGAGGAGGGTTGTATCACAGAAGGCCGCACACTATCATTACCTTCTCAGTTATTCATATGTAATACGCCGTCATGTGTGCAAATGTGAACAGAATATTGTTCTTACGCTACACCCCATTTGGGTGAAAATCTCTTAATATTAATTTTGAGTAGGCAGATGCTAAACGCTACAAACTAGCTGCATGCTAGCGAAACAACGCCAGTTACGTGATAACTTGTGTTAACTATTATTAAAGATGATAAAACACCCTTTCACTAACTTTTCTGTAAATTCGATATTGTATTTTGTTTATCTTTGCATTTATTTACAATACTGTACTAAGTGAATTATATTAAACGTCCAAATGTTTTCAAAATAATACGTTTAGCTACAATATGGCTCATTGCTAAAACAAGCACTGCTATATAGACACAGACGTCCGTTTGCTATAAATTCTCCAGAAGCTACCGGAAATGTATTATTTTTCTTTGCGTTTATTTTGTGATAAGGCTAATTTGTAGATTAATCTGCAGAAGAGTGCTTGGTCACGTTTGCTTAATGGCAAAATATTAAGTTTTCCCCTATTGTGACATTGTGTTGTTCTCTTATGTTTCAGCTGTACACATTGACTGAGTACAAGCCACCCATCTCCAAGGCCAAGATGACTCAGATTACCAAGTCAGGAATCAAGGCCATAAAAGTAAGTATAGTGATGGATGAGACAGGTAACGGATGAATAAAGCAAACTTCACTGAAGCAAATTGTTGTCCACTTATTAAATCTTACCCTTTATGTTTGCAATCAACTTATATAAACCCAAAATTAATTCTGAATTAAAAATGATCTCCAGTTTCAAGATTTAATTCTTGAAATTACATTTATTGTAGGGCATATTTTCTGTTCACCTAGGAATAATAAAGGATTTCTTAAAAGTCCGGCTTCCAAGTATTGAAATAAAAAATAAAATACTATGTGTACTGTTATAGTGCATCAGAATGGACCAGTTTGTGTCTTGGAATTTCTTGGTATTTTTACTCATGTGTAGTATTTAGTTGTCAAATCCTATCAGTAGCTCACTGTAAGAGCTACTTTCTATTTCGACTCATAATCATCATCAATTTCGCAAAGGACTGTTTGGATGCAATGCTTAGTAGAACATCATTGTTCCCTGGGATCTATTAAGGTGTAAGGATGTCTATTGATTTCCATACCTGATATAGAGTTTGGTAACTGAGATGCTAATGCTCACATCAATTGGAGAGAACATCTACCTTTAAAACATGTTATTAATGAAAATACAAACAAAAATATTGCAGCTGTATGTTTTACTGATATCATAAAGTCGTACCTCAAATCTGTGCTTATAGCTCCTGAAACTGTACAGAAAAAATAAAATAAAATACAGCTTGCAGGGCTGTTTGGGTAAGTTTCTGCAAGCATTCATAGCTTCAGCTGTAGTTTAGTTTTAGGTCTATGTTGTAGAGAAAAGAGTTTTAAAAGATTTGGCCAATTTAGACTAAACTCACTAAGAAAAACAAAACTTGTATCTCACCTCAGTACTCGTACCTGTTCTATTACATCTTCTAAAATATCCATATTTGTGACTTTTACCCAGATGCCTTTACATTACTGTATAAACTATATACTCAGTCAACACTGTCTAAAAGTACAGTAGGTAAAATAACAAATTTGTTTAAATAAATTACATACTGCTCCTTTAATCAATAGATCGAAAAGTTTCACAATTCTAAACTTGAGTTTTATAGAACATCCATTGGATGTAGAAAAGTTCAGTCTAGCTTTGACCTGCCAGAGTATTTTAGAGTTGGAGTTATAGCCAATCAGTAGTTCTTCAGCTCTTTAGAAGGCAGTAAAATAGCCCTTCATCCAGCAGCCGAATTAGAAGCTGCAAAATTTATATTAGGTTCAGTGTTGTCTTATTTACTTGTTTAACTCCTACTGGGTTTGGAAGCATAACCTCGTTGGTATTCACTTATGAAAAAATTGCTATGCAACTTGCACACATAAAATGTACAAGTTGTGAACATAATGCCGTAATAGTAATTGCTAAAATGTACCCGGCCAGAGACGGCTACTACGCTTTTTTTTTATTTTTAAAGATACTCGTGTGTTCCAGTCGTGCCACCCTGAAAGTATTACACAAGTTCTATTTCATCTGTGAAATCAATTAGCCTGCCTAATTTTTAAAATAAATCTCTTATTGTGGTTAAAA